TCTCCCCCTGGCCCTGCCGCCGATCCTTGCTAGCAGCTGCTCTTCACCTCCATGGGTTTTACTTCCCCCTTTTTTTCATGAAAAGCCATGGATTTTTGTCAGCTGGATGGCTGGTCAGGTCCAATTTAGGGTTGCAAAGCCACAGGGCACGCGCTGCAGCCAAGCCCCGTGTGCCCTCTGAAGGCTGGTCCTCGATGGAGGTAGTTGCTGAATGGTTTCTGCAGGTATCTCCTGTCTGCAGCTGGGCTGGGACTATCCTGCCCAAGGCACAGCCTGGGAAACCTTTTGTCTTGCCTGTTTCTCACCACATTGCCCCAGTCAGGAGTTCTGCTGCTGGGGTTATGTAGATCTGCCCAAGGATGGGGCTTCGAGGGGCAGCGACTGTGCCGCGCTAAGCCCCAGCAGTGGTGGAAACCCACGCTCAACCAGAAATCGCTTCTTTTGAAGTGTTTTATGGCCAGCGGGGCATCTCCTGGCTCCAGAGCACTGCTGGGAGGACTGGCAAAGGCAGTGAGGGCAGGGGTCTGACCTGCCAACTCAGAAGGTTTGGAGCTGCGTGCTCCACACGTGGTTTCTGAGTAGTTCTCTTAAGTCCTTTGCCTCTGCATCGTCTACCAGCGATGTGATGCCTCTTTTGTAAGAGCTTAAACTATGTCAGCAATACTTGGCCCTCGTGCATTTACTCACACTTCCCCAGCAAATTACATAGTGCCAACAACAGGATAGAGACTATGGAGGAGGCTTTTGTTTGGCTTCTGCTCAGGAAGGAACCCAAGCCATGGAGGAGACTCTTCAGCCTCCAGAAACCTCCAGAGGGAAATGCAATCAGCCAGATTGACACTGGGAGTAACAACATAGTGAGCATGAAAACACCCCTCTGAGATGCTGTTTCTCATTCCTTTGAGGAACAGGAGACCCCATCTCATAGGAAATGGTTCACCTTATTGTAGACATAATCTTCTGCTCATTTAATTATCTGAACTGACACACTGGTAGGGTCGTTTTGATCACTAAACTGGTACAAGGGGAGCTGGAGGAGGATGCGAGATCACCCTTGTGACAAGTGTTTTTGCATTTCACAGAAAGATGAGATCTGAAAGATAGAAGTGCTTCAAATGCCCCAGAGCACCCATCCTTCTGCTTGGTTATTTTTAATGTATCATTCAAGCAGTTTCAAAGCTGTGATAAACACACCCCTACTGCTGAGAGTGAGTCTCTTGTTCCCCTTTTACCAAGTTAACTTAGTAGGCAAACTTGTTTCTTCTACAGTAACGTCCAAGAGGAAGTGAGTAATGGAGATGGTGACATCTCCCATGGGCAATTCTTGGAATCTGAATCAAATGCAGATCGACCAGAGACAGGTAAGAAACGTGGAGAAGTGCCCAAAATCCAGCTAAGATGCAGCAGTCATTTTTAAATCTGTGTAGCAACAGCATGCAAGAGTTTATCATCATTTCTAGAGTGAAGAGACACAAAAAAAGGCTGATCTGGGCAGTAGAAAACACTACAGATGAGGAAAAACTGAGTGGGAGTTGATCTTATTTGGAAGGGGATCTATAATGTAGGAGGAGCAGAGGAGCATGTCCCGCTCCTTCCCTGGAAGGCAGGTCTGAGCTCTCTCTGCACAGGATCTAATTTTTTGGGCTCACTCCCTGAACGGTGGCAGGGAGTGAGGTAGGAGCCCTCGGGAACCCCTTTGGCCAAGTGATGGATGACCCGGAGCCTGGGACAGTGGGAGGACGGGCAGTTTCTCTCTGGCTGTTACAGAAGCAGGATATGACTGACAAGGTGCTGTTGCCACACGCTCCAGCCAAAGCTGAGAGCAGTGGTGGGAGGTTTTGCAAGCCAGCCTTGAAGAGCTCAGCCTTCCTGGCAGAGTCTGCAAACGCTGTCCCCCTTCAAGTAGGTCTGACCTCCATGTAGAATATTTTTTCATTGAAGGCTTTCTTCTAGTAATAGGAAAAGAAATGTGTTTTGCAAAATTGAATTGTTTAGGGAGGTTGTGGGGTTTTTTCTTCCCTGCCCATCTTTCTTTCTTTTCCCCTTAGAAGCCTTTTGTGCCGTATTACTCAAAGGATTAAAACACTCCGTCTGCCCAGGTGCGTGCACACAGCTTTCCTGTTCATCAGTTAATAGGAGAGATGCCTTCCTGCAGATCTTGTGCTACTACCCCCACATCAGTGCGTGTCTTTTAGCACGTCCCTGAATGTAGATGTAGATGTATGTGTTTTGTAAATGTTTCTAAGTACATCATAACCTAGCCTGAGGGGAACCTGGAGAGCCTCTCCAAGATGGCTCTTCTTGTTCCCTTCGTTTTTCTGATGCCACCTAGAGGCAGCTGACCTGCTTTGATGCCGTTTTGGAAAATATTTTTTGCTGATCTGGAATTACAGTTTTTTTGGGGTTTTTGGTTTTTTTTCTAAAAATGAAGATTTATTGGTGTGTTCACCAGATTCGGATGAATGGAAGGAAACAGAGAAGCGAAAAACAGTCCCTGGGATTGCTGTAAGGAGGGAGCCATTGCGAATGTGCCCAGGAGGCTGAGGCTTCTGTATGTGTGGCTGAAATCTGGACGTTTTTCTGTGGTCTTTACAGCAAGGCCAGGTCTTCCACGCTCCTGCCTCCCGTTGTGCCTATGTTCTTCTGAAATTAAGCAAGATGGAGCATCCTAGGAGGGAAGGTAGGGAGAGCACTGAACAGTTGAGGGGTAACCAAGCCAGTTCCTGTCTGCGCTGAGACCCCCAGGACACGGGGGCTGTGCCCTTCGGCTGCCCCATGGGCACCCCAGGGGAGCGGATGGTGGGAAGGGACAGGCAGGGTGACAGGGCTCTGCTGCCCTGCTGGGAAAGGCACCACTGCTCTAGCTGCGACACCAAGCTGGCTCCTGCCAGGCCTGTCCGTGTCTGCAACATGTGGCAGCTGCGGCTGTGCAGGTCTTGGGCTGTTTCCTCTTATTTAAATATGTCAATGAAATAATCCCAGATTTTCTAGTTGGATGAAGTAGTGCGTGTATCTCTATTACATACAGGTACAAAGAGGTGCAAGAAAGCAAACCTATCCAGAAAAATAACAGAGGGGAGAAGCTTTAGGGCCTGTTTTTTTACTGTTGTCCATCCTTGAACAGCAGCCTTCTGAAAACAGTTAAGGCACTTCAGACACGGAGTAAATATTCAGTGACGATTTATTTTCTGGTCTTAATTATTATTACAAAAAAAAAGCAGATATCAAAAAACAGCAAAGATTTCACAAGTTCCCCAACAGTTTTACACAACTGAACTGCAGTAAAATGGTGAATGTAGAACACGTATTTCAGTCCTGGCCCTAAACCTTCAATGGTGATCTGTGGTCTGGGATGCCCTGGGCTTTCCTAATTCTTTTAACTCCTCTTTATTTTGGAACCGAATTAGCCCACTAGCTAACATGCACAAGGCAACAGGAATGTGAACCGTCTGGTATCCTTTAAGGCCCTATTCATCTAGAAACAAAAATGTGGGAGTTGTGCAAGGATGGAGTGGGATACCAGTATGTGTTTCTCAGATTACCACAGGAAGCCGCTTTGTGCTTGACAATACCAAATCACTTCCAAATTGCTGAAAGGTGATTTGCTGTGTGAAAGCTGCTTTTTCTTCTTCTCTTCAGGATCTCTGCTCCCACTGGGCTGGGCTCCAGCATGAATGGACCATAAAACTTTTAAATTCTACCATCCCAACCGCATCATGGACAACTTCCTCCCGTTGTGACTTTCCCGCTGCGGACCCAGCACTGATCACAAGGAATCTGAACAGGCCGTGAGACGTGAGGTTAAGGAAAATACACGGCGCTCTGGAATGATAATTGGGGTCAGAAAGGAGCCTTTGCTTTCGGTCCTGTTCACGGCTGTAGGTTCAGAGGCTGACCAAAGGAAACATGGTCCAGTTACCTATATTAATAGCTGCCCCGCTTCTCAAATACAGCTCTTACATCGAAACACTGCTTGGCTAGCGAAAAGAATTAAGACGTTGCCCTACGTCCCTCAGCATTTGCTCGGAAAGTCAGGTCCAAATCTGCCATCATTATACACAAATGCAAATCACCCTAAACATGAAGTTGTGTATGTCACTATATGTGTCACTGAAATATTCACGAGTACCAAATATTCCTGTTAGAAATGAAATTGCACCTTCATAATTTTCCAGAATTGAACAAAAAAAAGAGATCACGATATGCATTATTTGTCAGGTATGAAAGAAGCAGCGAGAAGGCAAGCTGAGAGACAGGTGCTGCCCACAGAGCAGCGATGGCATTTGGTTGGTTGGTTTTTGTACCAGCATTTCCCACACTCTGGATGGCAGGCAACTGCTTGCTGCTGGATTTAAACCGTTTTCCTGGCAGTCAAAACGCGAACAATGGAGCCTACGCCTCCAGCAGCCAGGGCCTGAGAAGAAAAACACGGCAATTAACACCAGGTCAAGGTAGCCACAGGCTGAAACAACTGCCAGTCAGAAATGTTCCCCACCCTTTACATTAAAAATGAAACTCTCGCACTCAGGGTGCCAGGAAAGGATGGTTGTGTTTGCTGTGAAGACAGTTACTTAACAAGCTTTTACTTCCCTGCATAACCAAGTTGCAAATTTTGCTTCCCTCTAGGAAGGAAATTCTATCTCCATCCACTTGAATCACTGGATTGAACCATTTTGTTTGTCTCGGCCTAACGGAAAACCAAACTTTAACTAGAGAATCTGTACCCAAGAAATGAGAAGAAGCAGGCACATGAGC